AGGTTTTCTTCCTGAGTGTAATCCACCCAAAATATCCGTTCAAAACCACAACACTTAAACAAATGAAAGAACTAGATGAGATAAAGAAATAGATAGTCCAGGTCACTTCAACACTAGCGGTACCGTTTTGGACGGTATCGGAAAAGTTGTTGAAAAACATTGTTTGGATTCACAATATTTTTAAAACACAAACTAGAAAATCACCGATTCAAAGTTTGGTATTTGTCTTCGTTTGGTACTCGGATGTGTGGACACCATGATGCCTTGTCTGAATATGTCGTAGAATTAAACTCCTATATCAATCAGGCGTTTATAAATCTCGGCCTCACCTAGCTATTCTATTTAATACCCAGATCAACCCATTGTTGTTGTTGTAAGGCCTTAATGATGTAAAATCCCTTATCACATTGACGGATCGTCGATGAGTTATGATCAACTGTCGAATCCGGAAAGGTTCAAGGTACCCGTTATATACCCGAGTAACGAAAATCCCTGTGATGTTTCTTCGTATGGGTTAACTTATTTCCATGGAAACCATGTCCCCGTCGGTGAAATTATATCAATGGGTTTGCGATGGTATTATTTCTTTCAAGAAAAAGAAAACAATTAAAAATGAAGAAATCTTAAAAAAAAAATATAATGGATATAAACAGAAAAATAGAAGGAACAGGAAAAGATGATAAAAAGGGGAGAGAAATGAGAATGAAAGTCGGTACATTTAGTCGATAATTCTGCGAATGTGACCCCATGTCACAGTGGGCTCTTGGATGTCCAAATCTCCATGGCGACCTGTTTTACCGTCACCTGGACAACTCCAGGCTTCTGACGGAGAACATCACGTGACATTTTGATTTGTTCCTACTAATATACTGATCATGAAACATTATCCGTGAAGCACAAACTAACATAATGAAAGACTAGTTGGGAGAGCAAACAGCTGGACTTAAATCTAAAACCAGATATTAATTAATTAGTAAATACTGATTCTGCATGCCTCCAAATAGATTCACTCTAAGATGCTAAACCGTTTTGAATGTATCTAGACTTACATAGGCTTAAACACTATCAGAATTATTGTCTGACGTCACGGATATTCTCGATTTTATCATTACGACCTCATAATATTAACATCATTTTGTGTCATTGTCTATTTATAAACGATGCACTAACACCCAATCTTATTTACGTTTACACATTTGTTTGAGAATAAAAATTTCTCACCTTTTTCTTTTGAGCCCTGAAATACGACAGAGTTCAGGATTCTTGATTTTAAAAAAATAATAAAAAAAAGAAATATCAGTGTCTCTTTATTGTACAGACTATTTATCAGAGTGACTTTATTGTAGAGACTATTTATCAGTGACTTTATTGTAGAGACTATTTATCAGAGTGACTTTATTGTAGAGACTATTTATCAGTGACTTTATTGTAGAGACTATTTATCAGGGTCTCTTTATTGTAGAGACTATTTATCAGAGTGACTTTATTGTAGAGACTATTTATCAGAGTGACTTTATTGTAGAGACTATTTATCAGTGACTTTATTGTAGAGACTATTTATCAGAGTGACTTTATTGTAGAGACTATTTATCAGAGTGACTTTATTGTAGAGACTATTTATCAGAGTGACTTTATTGTAGAGACTATTTATCAGTGACTTTATTGTAGAGACTATTTATCAGAGTGACTTTATCGGTGTCTATCTGAGTGACTCTTTATCTCAGTGATTCTTTATCATAGTTAAACTCTTTATCGGAGAGATTGTTTCCAAAGCTCAATTACATTGTTCCCTTAACTGAATTATATGGTTTCAACAGTTCAGTCAGTGGACATTAAGTATTAATATACATCTCCTATCTAAGTATAATGCTTTCAAAAGAGTTTTTACTTACAGCACAATTTGTCAGTAAAGAGTTCTATTTAGGACGGGAAAACATAGAAATCTTACATTAATTCCTTTCCGCTGTACGTCAGTTCATCTGTCGACATCAGCTTCTGTGATATATACGTCTCCGTGCAGGAACTTCTGCTCCTGATGGCCTGTCATGACCATACTTGGTACACAGGGTGTTTGTGTGGAGGAGATGAAAGGAATGGTATTTCAGGTTCTGGTTTTCAAAGGTTGTATAGCAACGTTTTCTTTTTTGTGTAATAACATATGTTCTTCTGACACAAATCCATTATTTATTTCGTTCATGATTGAAAAGTATCCTTGTTCAAGCACACAAATCTACAAAATCCAAGTATCATTCCTTGAAAATCCGGTTAGTTGAAACCAGGTGTTGATTTTGTTATGAAATAAAACAAGTTTGCTGAACATCATCACTTAACCGCACCAGAAAGGCACATTTTGTTGTGAATGTAGGTCTTCTCTAGTAACGTTAGAACAGCTTTCGACAAAATACTTCAACGAATATCTGATTCTCTGATCAATGGCGTTTTTACCTTCACATTTCCTTAGATCGATATCCAACAAAAAGAAACTTGTTCATACATACAAATGATTATCCAAGACTCGACGTTAAAACATTTAAAAAAGAGAATCCAAGTACAGCCTCGATAAAATATTAAAGAATAATATATAAATCCTGTTCTGTACTTAGATCATGTCCTGAAAAAGTACGTGACAAGACACACATGATCTACACGCAAATAGGATATCATCAATTATAACAGCTCTTTAATAAACCTTTATTGAGTGAGATTGTGTGCAAGAAACCTAATTCAAACAGAATTCTTAGAAAAATTACGAATTTTAAATAGGGAACAAGACTATTTGAATATTTGTTTTCATTGTTGGTTATTCATTACAAGGTTTCTGATAAAAATAACAGGACTTCAGATATGTGACATTAGGCAATGAACATTATCAAATATGTTACACACGTCTTCTAATATGATGTAACTATGACAACAAACAAAAAAAAAAGTAAATAACCATGGAAACTTTTCAACACTATGGTACCAGATCATTTCGTGTTTGTATAACGTCACCGAGGAAATGTCCAACATATAGAACGACTTTAAAGGAGAAAGTTTCGAGCAGATAATGGCCATTATTGAAGTTGTCCACGTTATACATAACATGTTATACAATGTCTTTCTTTATTTCATCGGAATAAAGTATTTGCATCAAAAAATGGTTGTAAACTTCAGATAAATATGCGCTTTCATGAGAAAGCCTAATAAATATTTTGTGATCTTTGCGGTTCCAAGTCGTCCATCTCCTTCACTCCTCCTATTTTCATATGTAGCATCACCGACGGACGTCACTTTTCCGGCGACAGCTTTATGGTCTTTTGAGGTTGGTATTGATATATGTAGAAGAGACAGCACATACTTTAAGATTTCAGCAATTTCGGTAACGTTGTCTCTTGTGTAGAATATCTGTAAGCTACCAGTATTTTTGGCACACTGATATTGTTTTGTCACACCCCTAGTTAGGTCAACACTATTTACGTCAATAACATCATTGATTACACCTGGGTTTTGCTGAAGTGGAACACTAAAACAGTGCTCTGATCTTTTGTCAGAACAGTATATATACAACAGTATATCTATGTGTATATGACAGAAAATTGATAAGCCTTAACCAAGTGTTGCCAAAGATAATGAATTATTATTGAGATGTTATCGCTTTCATAAGCAACGTGTATATATCTCTGAAATCTACTCGATTTGTCAGGAATATATTTCATAAACTGTATATTTCTTGTATTCACCTTACTGGAATATACATATATATATATTATTTAATCTATATTCAGAACATCCGAACTGCACTTAATTCAAACATATATGAATATCAAAGTCTCGATATTAAGAAATATAGCAAAATGACATTAAAAACGTTTCGAAAAACATCGTAAGTGTAAATCTCAGTGACAAATTGAGTTTCTATAAACTCTCTCTCTACCTGAATTTTGTTTCTGGTGTTGTATAACCTGTTTGACATAAGAATTGTTTCTCAGTACAAAAGCATGCCTGTCTACAGGTAAACAAACAACATTTTGTTCTGATAAAGACATGTACTTGTTAAAACACCGACAAGTTATTTTTAAAGGCGTAGTATTTCACGGAGTTCATTCACAAAATTGTAAAGGATGAAAGATATTTGTCAACCTTGATTTTTAAAGCCGCAATTCTCTTTACCGTTATATGTAACATCGGTTCTAACTGATCACTGACATCGAATCTGAAAGAGGATTTCGTTTCATACGATTTTTTATGAAACAAATCTTCGAAGTTTTAAGGTTCGAAAAAATTGAAACATCCAGACGAGTTTCATAAAACACATAGGACATACAAGGAGGTTAAGATACTTCTTTATCACGTAACTCAACATAACATCACATCACTCAAAGGTACAGTTTGTCATGTTTCAAAGTCAAAATTTGAACTACAAAATCAAACGAAGGAAACCAACTTGCTCTTTTCAATTCATGACGTAAAGCCATTGTTCATATTATGATATCACAATCGATTTTTGACTCGCACAGCCAGCGAGAAATGCGCTAGGGTATATAACACTTGGGAGTATTCACTGTACAACAGTCCGACTATAGGATAAACGTTGTTTTTTGGGGAAGTTCAGGTTTCCGTTGTTTTGGAAAATGGGATAAAATTGCAAAAATGATAAACCTGGAAAACTTTGGAAATAAAATGAAATTTTTTGCTTTTCACGAATGACGTTAAATTACACTCCATTCGCTTCAATTTTGGTAAAAACCACGAAATTCTGAACTTTTGAAAAGAAAAGCATGATTGCGTTTATGGAACATATACATATTGACTATAAATCCGGCCAATTCGCATGATAAAAGACACTTTTAACTGTTAATTTGTATACATGTTATAAACATCACACCACGGCATTGCTTTTCTTAGCTAGATAGGACAACTCTCGACACGAAATTAACATCATCCTTGTTTAGAGATACATATGCAAATAACAGCTAATACATTTTTGATGTTCCGACGTTTGGCTTCAAAGCAGGTGTCTACTCTTTGCCACATGTTGTAACCTCAATCTGCAATGCAAGATAAGCATGTTTTTATGTTGATTAACACCATTTTTATACATCACACATTTTCTCAAGATTTAAGAATTTAGACTATAATACTTACCATGTCAACAAGTCCAGAGAAAGCATTGTATCCTATACTGCACGCTTTCCCGCCAAGTTGTAAGGCACCGCGACTTCGAGATATTTTCCCTAAAACATAAACAGTCAAGGTCATTTAAGGACAGACCTCTTCTATGTGCGACGTGAGTGTAGTGTTGTGTTGTGTAAGTGTGGAACTAAAACCGTCTTTATGGTGCAATACTTAAGAACACTGATGAAGGTCCTCAGGAGGCAAAACCCAACGTCTTTCTTAGAGGGGGTGAACTCTCAAATGAAGGTCAAATGTAAGGCAGGCCCATAGGAATCATTAGAGAGAAAAAATCTTGAGGAAAGAGAGAAAATATAAGCATCCCATGTTTAGTCGCCCTCTTTTAATCAAGCAATTTAGTTCACTATGTATACATATTTTTCCTGCTTTGTATTGGTTATAAGGTTGAAATAAAATACAACAATCACTATCAACAGTTAAAACCCGTTAAATGGAACAGCCATTTCCATACCCACCAACGATAACATTTTAAGATCACTTGGTGTCGTTTATTGTACAATAAATGACACGTCTTGCTAATCACTTTATCTAGTGACAATGCCATATAAATGTAAATATTTAAATTACGAGTCCACCTTTTTGCTTGAGTTTCATTTCGGCCATCTTCCCGTTGACTTCCACGTCCAAAGTTGTGCCATCGAAACGAAGTAGCAGATCATAATACTCTGGGCTACGCTGTATGATAAATTAGAAATTGTTAATGTGTATCATTAGTTAAATAAATAGTTTGTTTTATTGTCCTATCCACAAATATATCGGTAACCAATTGAAAGAACACGTTCTGAAACACATCATCCGTAATGTTACCAAACTATTGACAGACACGTGTAGAATGTAGTGTTACCAATGGTATTAGAGGTTATAGTCTAGTACTGTTACCAAACTATAGACAGACACATGTAGAATGTAGTGTTACCAATGGTATTAGAGGTTATAGTCTAGTACTGTTACCAAACTATAGACAGACACATGTAGAATGTAGTGTTACCAATGGTATTAGAGGTTATAGTCTAGTACTGTTACCAAACTATAGACAGACACATGTAGAATGTAGTGTTACCAATGGTATTAGAGGTTATAGTCTAGTACTGTTACCAAACTATAGACAGACACGGGTAGAGTGTACGTTCTACAATGGTATTAGAGGTTATAGTCTAGTACTGTTACCAAACTATAGACAGACACGGGTAGAGTGTACGTTCTACAATGGTATTAGAGGTTATAGTCTAGTACTGTTACCAAACTATAGACAGACACGGGTAGAGTGTACGTTCTACAATGGTATTAGAGGTTATAGTCTAGTACTGTTACCAAACTATAGACAGACACGGGTAGAGTGTACGTTCTACAATGGTATTAGAGGTTATAGTCTAGTACTGTTAGCAAACTATAGAGAGACACGTGTAGAATGTAGTGTTACCAATGGTATTAGAGGTTATAGTCTGGTACTGTTACCAAACTATAGACAGACACGGGTAGAGTGTACGTTCTACAATGGTATTAGAGGTTATCGTCTAGTACTGTTACCAAACTATAGACAGACACGTGTAGAATGTAGTGATACCAATGGTATTAGAGGTTATAGTCAAGTACTGTTAGCAAACTATAGACAGACACGTGTAGAATGTAGTGATACCAATGGTATTAGAGGTTATCGTCTAGTACTGTTAGCAAACTATAGACAGACACGTGTAGAATGTAGTGTTACCAATGGTATTAGAGGTTATAGTCAAGTACTGTTAGCAAACTATAGACAGACACGTGTAGAATGTAGTGATACCAATGGTATTAGAGGTTATAGTCTAGTACTGTTAGCAAACTATAGACAGACACGTGTAGAATGTAGTGTTACCAATGGTATTAGAGGTTATAGTCTAGTACTGTTAGCAAACTATAGACAGACACGTGTAGAATGTAGTGTTACAATGGTATTAGAGGTTATAGTCTAGTGCTGTTACCAAACTATAGACGGACACGTGTAGAATGTAGTGTTACAATGGTATTAGAGGTTATAGTCTAGTGCTGTTACCAAACTATAGACGGACACGTGTAGAATGTAGTGTTACCAATGGTATTAGAGGTTATAGTCAAGTAATGTTAGCAAACTATAGACAGACACATGTAGAATGTAGTGATACCAATGGTATTAGAGGTTATAGTCTAGTACTGTTAGCAAACTATAGACAGACACGTGTAGAATGTAGTGTTACCAATGGTATTAGAGGTTATAGTCTAGTACTGTTACCAAACTATAGACAGACACGTGTAGAATGTAGTGTTACCAATGGTATTAGAGGTTATAGTCTAGTGCTGTTACCAAACTATAGACGGACACGTGTAGAATGTAGTGTTACCAATGGTATTAGAGGTTATAGTCTAGTGCTGTTACCAAACTATAGACGAACACGTGTAGAATGTAGTGTTACCAATGGTATTAGAGGTTATAGTCTAGTACTGTTACCAAACTATAGACAGACACGGGTAGAATGTACGTTCTACAATAGTATTAGAGGTTATAGTCAAGCTTGTGTACAAGAACAAATAAACTCGGTTCAATCGTTAAGTTAGCAAAGTTATATATAAAATGTAAATTACATACACGTTTGATCATACAGTTATTTGATGATGAAAATGACATTTTTAAAAGAAAATAAACAATGTTCGGCTGTAGAAATCCGAGAGTCTAGCACCTGAATAACGTTTGAAATTTAATTCAATTTTACACATTCCCAGTAAGTCCCCTTGTTTGTTCAAAATTTTATTGGGATTGATTGACTGGAGAAGGAAACTGAATCAGCTTCAGTTCGGCTGGACTTACCTTCACGGTTATATTTAAGAAAGCCATCTGTGCTGTTTCTTCTACTGTAATACCAAATATGTACACAACCTCGGATTCGCTGTCGGCCATATCAATGCCGACTAATAGAGAGGGATTGGAGTGGGTCTCGCATCCTCCGTTATGCAGAATGGCTTGAGGGGGCGCTGTAAGTTCCGGGAGGATGCGCACGTGCAGGAATATCATCTCCCCCATGTCTGCGTTTGAAAAGAACCAGAATGAGATACTACTGTCCTGTCCAAACATGGCACTCTCGTTGTTGATGTACACGACATTCTTGTAGCGGACTTTTGATGGAGTGTTTTCTATGTCCTTGTCACGTGACCGGAACGCCATGTTAACACTTGTGAGGCACCCTGGAACATAACCATTCAATTCAACAACGTGTAAATTAATTTTCCAACTAAACATATTGTGATAAAAGCCAAAGGATTTTTCAAGTGAACGAATTCATCCAGATTTTTGTTGGCGCCATAATGTCTCCAAATATGGACGAATTATAGAAAAAAACACAACCAGAAATTCTGTCCTATTAACATCACCAAACTGACGAAAACGTTCCGAAATATCGACATATCTTCCTTAATACCTTTTCTGGAAATTTTCTAATGGAAAATTTAATTATTCAATACAATGTGAGTTTTCTCTGCAAACTTAGCGAAGTAAATAAAGATTCATGCTCCGGTGGGAAAATTGTCAAAATTAATGCGACTTAATGATTCCGTAAGATAAATTTTCTTGCAAACCTCTGTTGAATGATATGGCGGGTGAAACGTCATATGACGTTACACACTGACACACTTCCGGTGAGAACTGAGTACCGACAGGGCATGCGCGGGTCTTGCGGAAGTCCGATGTGATATCTTCATACCAGTATGGTCCCAAAGGGGAAGAGCGAGACGTACAGTCTGCAAAGATAGACTGAGTGAAAAGCAACAGATATTTTCTTTTCTTTTCAGAATTCTGAAATGTCATTTTGATATCATTACTAATTTTTATTTATGAAGGGTTACACGCAAAGAAATTAAACAGCCATAATAAGCATATTTCTGTCAATAAACTTCAACGAAATGACGAACCAAAGATACACATGTGAACAGTAACTTTCAATATACAGGAAGAATAAGATACAGAATATAAGGTAATGAGAATTAACCGGCAACACACCAAAATTAAATGCAATCCATAACCACTTTTATTCCACAATCTTAACGTAAAGACTTCTTGTAACTTCATTAAAAAGACATTATTTCTAATACCAATGCGATTTGGATGATCGATCACTAATCATAAAAAGCTAGTGTATACTTGTCACTCGAAAATCCAAAGACGGCTGTGAATAACATTGTTCCTTGCAGGAGTTGTCGACATCTTTCATACACCCAAGACCAGCGACAAAGAGGAATCCTTCTGGACAACAGCTAAGTTGGAGCTGGCTCCTATCATTTCCACATTTCCAGTATTCCCTACACGAATACCAAACTTCACTGTCACTCATCTTCCCCGAGCACACATCTGAAATATTAATGATAACTCAAAACACACAATCAAAAATAAAACAAAACAAAACAAACAAAAATAAATAAAAAAATAAAATAAAAAAAAAATTAAAAAAAATTTTTTTAAAGAATTGATGGCTGGACATTCTTACCATAGTCCGAGATGTGAAGTTTTATATATGCTAATCACGATCCCAGTCGGATAACTGGACAATCTTACAATAGTCCGAGATGTGAAGTTATATATACACCAACCACAATCCAAGTCGGATAGCTGGACATTCTTACCATAGTCCAAGATGTCGGTTATATATGCTAATCACGATCCCACTCGGATGTCTGGACATCCTTACCACATTCAGAGTCGGTTGGCTGGACACACCATATTCTGATTAGAACTGGACATACTTACCACATTCAGAGTCGGATGGCTGGACACATTTTTGGTTTCGGTTACTCCACAGTAGACCGTGCGGACAGACCTTTTGCAGAGCTTCGTAGCCTGGTGCTGGACACTGGACATACTTAGTGCAGTCGTGTGCACACCCAGCATATCGTTGACCTCCTGAACCCGGCGTACATTTGCTGCATTCTACAAGTAAACGGGGAGATAGCGACAATTATCAACACATTTCCGCTCAATCAAATCGTGTCACCATTTTCATTCGTTTCGTTTGCTGGATTGGTTTATCGACCTGTGAACAACCAGTCATTTTATAGCGGAGTCGCCTTGAACTGAGACCACAATTAAATACTTCCGGGTTCCTAAGTCCCTTAGAAATATGTGTATATTAGAAAAAAAATAACATGCCTTTTTGAATTGGATGTTTGCCTATTTGATGTAGATCTGTAAATAATTCCTATTGAACATGTGTTTCAAGCTGCAGGATCATGAGTGACAAATCCTGTTTATACCTCTACCCCTGACCCGGATGTATATGATTGAGGTTCAAGTTTTCACAAAAGAACACTCTCAAATGTACACGTACACGTCTATTCATATCAGTTTATGACATCAGACAAGTTTAAATGACAAAATTATTTAGTCAAATTGTGATTTTACTGTTTTGAAATACAGAAAGGTAAGTCATCCCCGATCGGTTGATGGTTCAGAAACTGATTTGTAATTTTTGATATAAATAAGTTTGGCGACCTTGTCAACCTTTAACCTTTAACCTGGTGATATTGACCTGAAGTAAGCTTTCTTCTGATTTTATGCCACACAACTCTGCTTCATAGTTCCATAAGAAAATATTTACCTTTGAAATAGAAAAAAAAGAAGATATTTGACCTCGTGACCTTGAGTTGTAGCCGAGCAACGACGAAATTATCACTGCATGGTTGTAACGGTCTTATTGAAATAATTGGTTCTGAGTGTATAAGGCACAGAATCAGATTGTCTTTAATTTGTATGACCTCCATATCTGAAAGCATTTGTTATATATTATTTCTATCTTACTGACACAAACAATCAATGTTGTTATTTGTTTCATATTCTAACGGTTCTCGCGTGAAACAACGCGCGATCCTGGGACCTTTGAAGTCGAAAGCGGACAACTTACCACTGTTCTACCACTACGTTACATATATGATTAATCGAAAATTTTGAAATCTTATTTGTTCTCTCCAAATATTGAACACATTCTGTTTTTGTATTTGTGTACATCAAAAAATCTAATATTTCCATATCATTTAACCTTGTAACCCACGTCTTACACACACATATCTCAAATAGCATACATTGCTCAAGTCTGATCTCTCATTGGGGAAACAAAGAATGTATTCGATGTGGTTTTTTTTCTTTAATGATAACCTGTATTACACTATAAGATGACGTTTTCAATACGTGTTTAAATTTCCTATGAATTATGTATAATCGTTACAAAAGGTCATCCTGGCTTATTTGTTACTGGCAGGTCACATATCATTAAATGAAATATATAAACAAGTTCATTAAATCATTTTACTGCGTTTCAATATTAAAGAAAGAATGATAGATAGAAATTGGTGAGGTGATAAGTAAATCTGCAGTCCTTTATCTTCCAATCACCCGCATATTAAAAATAACCTGTCTAGTCCTTGTTAATTACTTTTTATATTAAAACGTAGTTTCTGATAAAATGTAGACCAGATATATTGGGTAAAATTTAATTTGCATATTGAAACAACTAATTTAAATATGTTGTCAAACTTAGGCATAGTGACGTTTAAAAGTCCCCTTTTGGGATAAAGACATACCCACCATCCTCCATTAGGTATATTTCTCATACTTGTTTCATGAAATCGTCTATGTTGGTATAGAGTTAGTAGCATACACGGTGCCGTTTCATTGACAATTCAATGCAATGAATAAAAACCGACCTTTCGAGAGATGTTATGTTTAAAATAACCAACTACGTAGCAACAATTTCGCGAAAAAGCCGAATTATTGTAGCATACACGGTGCCGTTTCACTTATAATTCAATGCAATGAATAAAAACCGACCTTTCGAAAGATGTCATGTTTAAAATAACCAACTACGTAACAACAATTTCGCGAAAAAGCCGAATTATTGTAGCATACATGGTGCCGTTTCACTTATAATTCAATGCAATGAATAAAAACCGACCTTTCGAAAGATGTCATGTTTAAAATAACCAACTACGTAACAACAATTTCGCGAAAAAGCCGAATTATTGTAGCATACATGGTGCCGTTTCACTTATAATTCAATGCAATGAATAAAAACCGATCTTTCGAGAGATGTCATGTTTAAAATAACCAACTACGTAGCAACAATTTCGCGAAAACGCTGAATTATTGTGAGAATTAGAAGCTAATGGTGTAGTGGATCTGTTTAACAAAAATCTAATATACGTTACCTATCGTACACACAAGGATATCATTTAAAATTAAACAGAATTAGTTAAACGGGAGTGAAAACCGAAAAATGTGAAAAAATGTATCACTCGACATTATTTTGCTGTCCGATTTTGTTGGTATTCTTAAAGAAGTGTATTTTGAAATGAATTGGTGTGAAACACCGTGACTCAGATTTTTCCTACTGTATATATAGAATACAAAATTATGATCTCAACACGCCTTCAAAACGAAGCTAAATGTTATTTTCTTGGCAAACCTGGGTTGTTACATGAACAAAACTCTGTATACCTTATCGCTTTTAAGAATGCGGATGTTCTACGCCCCTAAAGATCTGGTGAGTTCGATGCACTTGTATAAGCATGTTAACCGTGTCTTTATTCTATGGTATTTATCAATTTATTTCCGTTAATTCCTGTGTATGATGTTACTCCATATACGTAACCTCTAGAATTCGGTGATCATGACAATATTTGTTTTTTCGGCTAACACACGTATAGTTTTCAAACGATGGAAGAAAGTCAGTATAGATCCAGTTTCGAACAAACGTTAAAACGGATTTAAAAGTGATCGTTTGATTTCAACATATTTTATTGCAAATAAATATTTACAAAATTATTAGACACAATTAATCACAACACTTGTCACAGTACTTTTCTTCAAAATACATGATATAAGCAATAAACTGGTAAGGGAATTTAAGCAATGTATATGAACTATCGTATGTTGTATGTGTGAGAGAGAGAGAGAGAGAGAGAGAGAGAGAGAGAGCCAGAGAGCCAGAGCGACAGAAAGAGAGTATCAGTCCTGAGTGTACAAGGCACAGAATAAAACACAAGCCTGGGATGTCACAACAACAAAACTCCCGAAAAAAATCTTCTCTATATTCCTACATACCTATTCGCTTTTAAGAATTTTAATTGCATCGTGTCGACATATTTATGATCTAGGTGCCCTTAGAACGAATGTCAAGGTTATTTCAATATTGAAAAGACGTGTTCACGAAAGAGAAGCACTTCATTTTCTCTTTCCAAATGTTAAAAAAGATATCCTATATATTTTCATTTTACGTTTGTAACATGCATGTCGCTCTCGCCATTAAAGGGAGAACTGGATGGTTGTAATACAAATCCATCTCTTTTCAAATAATAACTTTCTCACTTTTAAATATAAATATAATTATATCATTTATTAATTTTCAATTTTATTTAGAAATTTGAAATGCTATATTCATTCTGGTAGGTGTGCTGCGAGAAGTGTGTCTGGTCGTACTATTAAAGAACGTGTACATTAGTCATGCAAGATGAATCAAAACCAATGCTTATGTCATCTTGCAACTAGATTATTACTTAGGCAGCCACATTTAGGTTATGTTAAACGTTTAGTATAAATAGAAGCCCCTTGATGTACGAGAAGAGGGGAGGCCACACAGGAGACACGGAGTAGAGAGATTAGTCTCCATTGACCGGACGCCCGCTCACTCGGGCTTTTGTTAGACCTATGTTGGAATGTAATTTGTAAATACATGAATGTACTTGTAAATATGTTTATATGTCAGGTCAGGATTAAAAACCTTGCTACACTAGGACAATAGGCTGTACTACCTGCATCTGTTTCCGCTACCTTTGGATACTTCTTGGTTGGGAAAAGGTTATGGGTGTAAACCCGGACAGAAAATCCTGCAGTTGCATACTGTGGTTTAAAGGAAGCTGCTGCGACCTGCTATCTGCTGTCCAGTTGTCTGTGTCTCCTCGAGTACAGCTGTCTTACTTCGGTTTGCCCCGGACCTGTGGTTGCAGGTAGAGAATTGCTGCTGCTCCGCGCAAACAAAAAGTTAATTTTGCGAATGGCACCTAGTGCCAAACACATTCATGACGGAGTCATACACCACGACGGCTCTGGACCTACTCTCAAGGTAGCGGGCAGAAAGGGAAAGGAGCAGAGGGTCCCTGGGTTCGGACGGGCTACCGTCAACGGAAATGGACCGGAAAACCCCTAACACTTGCTGCTTGGAATGTACGCACTCATTTGGATAGAAAAATGCCAACCGACCAGAGAGAAGGACCGCTTTAGTCACAAGGGAGCTCAAACAATACAACGTGGACATTGCTGCCCTCAGTGAAACAAGGTTCTTAGACAAAGGAGAGTTAAGCGAAGGTGGATTTTTGGTCAGGTCGCAAAAGTGTAAGGAAAGCAGGAGTTGATCTTGCTTGTTTCGCAACTTGAATCGCAGCCGAAAGGTATCAATGACAGAATAATGACAATGAGGCTCCCCTTGTAAGACAACACAAACTCTTCTTTGATAAGTGCTTTTGCACCCACCCTGACTAATCCGGATGAAAACAAGGAAGTTTTCAATTAATAGCTGGATGAGGTTGTACGCAGCGTACCAACAGCTGACAAGTTAGTCTTACTGGGCGATTTCAATGCAAGAATTGGGTCAAATCATACTGCTTGGACAGTAATCATTGGTCACCATGGCATTGGGCAAGAGAACTCTTATGGAAGACTCCTGTTGTCTCTGCTCCTAGTGTAGTCTGTTGGTTACAAACACCTTCTTCAAACCCAAAGATGCATACAAGACTACATGGACGCACCCGACATCTAAGCATTGGCATCAGCTAGACTTCATCATATGTAGGCAACGTGACATCCGTGACTTTCATATCACAAGGGCCATGAGAGGTGCTGAATGCTCAACAGACCATCTACTTCTCAGTTCCAAAGTGAGCTTTCAGATTCGAAGAAAAAAATGTTGCAACCGCCTTACAAAGTGAACTCTCAAAGCGCCTTGAACAAGTAACTTTCTACAAAGGTAAAACATAAGAAAACTGGGCCAAGCTTAGAAATGAAGTTGACTCCGCTGCAAGGGAAACTACAGATGTCCTGAAAAGCATCACCAGGACTGGTTTGATGACCACGACAGGACGATTCATGGACTCCTTGCTGAGAAGTATGCTGTACATACGGCCTGGCTTGCTGACAGACTATCAGACGCGAAAAGTGACAGGTTTCACTCTCTCACGGGAAAAGTTCAGAGGCAACAGCGCTGCATAAAAAACGGATAGTGGAAAAGAATAGCAGAGAAAGTCCAGGGTTATACTGACTCAAAGAATACAAAGCGCTTTTACTACAGCCTGAAAGAAGTATATGGGCCAACACAACGAAGTGCAGCCCCAATACGCAACCTACAAGGCGAGCTCCTCACTGACTAAGAGGATATTAATAAGAGAACACTTTGAGAGACCCCTTCGATTAGAACTGGATGACCTACCAACAGAAAATGAGCTACAGTGTGACCCCGATGACATTCCACCTGAAGTAGTTAAAACTGATGGCCAGTCGCTGGTAAAGAAGCTCACTTAATTCCTTTGCGTGTGTTGGGAGGATGGATGACTGCCAAGATTTGAATGATGCGCTAGGATTGTACTTTGTACAAGGACAAGGGTGACAAGTCCAGCTGTGACAACTATCGTGGAATCTCCCTTTTGAGCATTGCAGGCAAAATCCTTTGCAAGGTCATTTTAAACAGGCTCAACACCCACCTACTTGAGGAGACAGTGCATGAAAGCCAATGTGATTTCCGCAAAAACAGAGGTACAGGTGACATCACATTCTGTTCCAGACAGATTCAGGAGAAGTGCAAAGAGCAAAATATCCTCTTCGTCGACCTCACAAAAGCCTTCGATACTGTTCCTCCCCTAGGTCTATGGCGTAACATGCCACGAATCGGAATCTCCCCTGAGATAGTGCAGATAATACGGTGTTTCCAATATGGCAAGAAAGCTGGATTACTTAACGGATTGGAAGAAGACGATTTCCATGTCTCTAATGGAGGAATGCAAGGATGTGTACTTGCCGCTACGCTCTTCAGTATGATGTTGCTCTCTACCTTCAAGGACACAGACCTAGGCATTCAGGTTTCATACAAAACAAATGGTGGTGTATTCAGCCTGCAACGCTTGCGTGCAAAGACAAAAGTCACTCTGGCTCTTGTAAGTGACCTGCTGTATGCCGATGAGTGCGCTATTGTCGCCCAAAGTGAGCATGATCTTCAACAATTTGCAGATTCACTCTCAGCCGCTACCAAGAGGTTTGGGCAGACGATCAGTATCAAGAAAATAGAGGTGATGTTTCAACCTGCAAGAGGATCCATAGCCAATATACATAAGATCAAGATTAATAGCAAGATCCGGAACTGTGTTGATTCTTTCACATGTTTTGGAAGCAGCCTGTCGTCTTCCACCCCACCCACCCACCCCCTCCTCTCCCCCTGCCAAGGAAATATCTACCCGAATTGCAAAGGCTAGTGCCTCCTATGGTAGATTGCAGAAGCGAGTTTTGAGTGAGAGGGGCCTGAGCATCGAGACAAAGTGTGCAGTGTGCGAAGCTGTTGCTCTGAGAGCGCTGCTGATAAGTTGCGAACCTTGGACACACTATCGAAGGCATTTCAAGTTCCTAGAACAATTTCATCAGCGCTGTCTGCGACGAATCATGAATATCAAATGGTTTAACAAAGTATAAAACGTTAAAGTGCTACAAAAAGTCCGGATGCAAAGCATTGATACTTTGTTAACACTGTCCCAGTTGAGATGGTCAGGACACCTGGTGAGCATGTCTGATGATAGACTGCCAAAACAACTGTTCTTTAGCGAGCTTTTAGCAGGACACAGGCTAGGAGTAAGGCCCAAGTTTCACTTCAAAAACATCCTGAAAAAGTCGCTCAAGAATTGCAGCATTGACACGGCCTACTGGGAAACCACCGCTTCAAACAGGTGTGTCTAAAGACAACATAACAGGAAGGGAGCAGCTGCTTACGAACAGGCCAAGCGGAAGGCACAGGCTGAGAAGCTTGCAGCAACCAAAGCCTGAAATGAATCCAGTGAATTCTCTATACAATGTCTTGTGTATGGCCGCATCTGTGCACCTGACTTTGGACTCAGATCCCACTTACGGGTGAAAACTCACCAATCAAAGTGCTAGACTGAAACTTATCGTTTACGATAGTCGACCATGTATATATTCTAAAGTAAACATTAAAAGTTGGATTTCAGTATCATCACTACACTAACTCAACAGCACCAACACCATTAGAATCGACACTCTGTGTATTTAGACAGTTTGTAAACATAGTTTTAAGAAGACAACCACAAGCACGTTTATCTGAGACCAGGTTATATTTACTATACATATTTATCTTCTTTAGAGCAGTTAAAGGTAACCGGCTATGAAAATTAATTCAAAATATCATGAATTTCGTGTCTTTTGTCTTTATCTCATTTGTTTTCAACTCGCGATATTTACTCATTCTTATTGTGAGGCTGTTCACGTTTTTTATTTTGTATTTCATTTGAACCTGTTTTTGATCCTCTCGTCACTGCTTTGGCATATACGCCTTTAACCAACAAAGTACATGATTGTCTATTATAATAAATAGATGGGAAATAACTTTTATGTATTTGACTCTCTTACGAGTGGTTACAGGTGAAAATAGTGCTGGCGGTACAAATTGCAACATACGGATATCTTTATAAAGAGATAATCTTCCGACTTCGCGCGGAAAATGAGCTTTTATTTCTGTACGCTCTATGGAATATCTATAGAAGCCCAGTTAAGTTCCATTTCCATAATTCACAAATTATACATACTAACGATAAAATAGAAAGCGTCGATCACGGAACACCAGGTTCTGTTGCATTTTTAAGTATTATTTTTTTATGCTGGAAACATGTACAGTTACGTAGATCTGAATGTACCTCTATCTATAATCACAGTTCAAATTCCTTTTCTGTCGTTTGTGTTAACTTTGCCGCTATGTGGAAATGTCGTTTGTATTTTTATTCATTTCGTTAATTACATATGAAACCCTTATTTCGAATAAATCAAATGTGCTTTGATCAGGAAACATTATGATTATATACGGTATAGAAACAACAATTGACTCATCGATATACATATATTGATGCCATGTTTACCTGTACAGCAATAGGACTTAAGTGTCATTTTCACCAAAAAAATGACACAACTAACTTTTAATTGAACTTTGTCAAAGTTATATCAATGTTTTGGAAAGTTAGAGGCATACATTTGGATATTTATACATAATGTTGCTTTTTTTTATTTCACATTTGAGTTGTCAAAATAATGGTTTTGTGAAAGATATGGTAAGACTATGAAGACTATGATTCATATGTAGGTTACCAACTAAACGATAACTAATCATTTCATCTAAAAAAATAAAAAAAATGATATATTTGTAACGTAGAAATGTTCAGAGGCAAACATTTTTATTTACAAAAACGATATACAAGTATTTTTCTGAAATGACGGTTTATAATATATAGTAAACAAGAGTGCCATGGACTCAATATTCACCGCCACAAAATATAAAGATCAAGAAAAACCGTAAAATCGCCACTCCAGCACATCCACCCATTGTGTTAGTGACACTGAGCTAGTTTCGTGAAAATCTTATTATTAGTTTAGGAGTTGCGTTCACAAAGTTCCACTAAGAGCAAGCTACAGATACAAAGTTGAAAATGGCATAAATCTTACAAAAATCGAAGAACCAAAAAATCGCCCCTTTCAGCACATCTACCCATTGTAGTAGTGACATTGAGCAAGTTTCATGAAAATCTGATGATTAGTTTAGGAGTTGCGTTCACAAGAAATGGACGTACGTACGGACGGACGGAAAGACGGAGATGACGCCAATATACGACCGCCTCCGACGGCGTATAAAAACGGTCACCTGGAGTGAGAAATCCGCGCATGTGCGACGCGGTATGTCCGCAATTGCTACATAAGGATGTTTGATCTTTCGAACCTAAAAGCAGTTACATTCCCATTATGAAAGCAATATGTGAATGCTAAACAGGAGGTCGAGAAGTTGAAATTATGCTGACATCACTAAATTGATCAAATATTACCTTGACACTGGATTAAAGTGTCACACATGTCTGTATCCATCCCTGGTCCGAGGCAACGCCCTTTTACTCCAGGGGTTACGTCAGCACACTTCCGGCGGCGCTGTTTAACACCTCGTCCACACGTCACGGAACATGGTTCCCAAGGCAACCAACTATTCCATGTTGATTCAACTGTAAAATATAACTTTGATGAAATCTTCATTAATACAGACAATTTACGATTTGTTTTTTTTTACTTGGGAATACCTTAGAGTTGTTAAATAATCTAAGATCTTCCGCTTTGTATATTAGTTTATGAACACTTGCGTTCCATAGTGTCTGGATGAAGCTTACCAGCCTCCATGTTTGTATCAACCTATATTTACATATAGCCATTAGGCATGTGCATTATTTATCGAATATGCGATGCTTCTTTACAGCCCTGAATTTTATAGAAACGTGGTTAAACATCAGTTTGAATTGAATCAAATTACTTTCTTTACTGTTCGCGTTGTTCATGACACTAGCTGAACTGCCGCTGTTCTAACGACGTGTGTGACACGGCTGTCAACTGAACTGCCGCTGTTCTAACGACGGGTGTGACACGGCTGTCAACTGAACTGTTTCTGTTCTAACGACGTGTATGACACGGCTGTCAACTGAACTGCCGCTGTTCTAACGACGTGTGTGACACGGCTGTCAACTGAACTGTTTCTGTTCTAACGACGTGTGTGACACGGCTGTCAACTGAACTGTTTCTGTTTTAACGACGTGTGTGACACTGCTGTCAACTGAACTGTTTCTGTTCTAACGACGTGTGTGACACTGCTATCAACTGAACTGTCTCAGTTCTAACGACGTGTGTGACACGGCTGTCAACTGAACTGCCGCTGTTCTAACGACGTGTGTGACACGGCTGTCAACTGAACTGCCGCTGTTCTAACGACGTGTGTGACACGGCTGTCAACTGAACTGCCGCTGTTCTAACGACGTGTTTGACACGGCGGTCAACTGAACTGCCGCTGTTCTAACGACGTGTGTGACACGGCTGTCAACTGAACTGCCGCTATGCTAACGACGTGTGTGACACTGCTGTCAACTGAACTGTCTCTGTTCTAACGACATGTGTGACACTGCTATCAACTGAACTGTCTCTGTTCTAACGATGTGTGTGACACGGATGTCAACTAAACTGCCGCTGTTCTAACGACGTGTGTGACACGGATGTCAACTGAACTGTTTCTGTTCTAACGACGTGTGTGACACGGCTGTCAGCTGAACTGCCGCTGTGCTAACGACGTGTGTGACACGGCTGTCAACTGAACTGCCGCTGCTTTTCACCTGTTACCCAATTCCTATATAAAACAATGCGGTGTTAGTTAAAAAAAGAACATAAAGTGTATCAACAACACTATAGCCGATTGGTAAAATTTGATCTTAAACTTGTCTGTTATTGGATTTATCTTAATTCTATTTTAAATCAATATTCACTTTCACGTGTTCTGCATAAAAAAATCTTTATTCTTTGATTTTATTTTGATATGTAGATATTCTAAAAATAGAGCAAGAATCCGCCATTTCGGTTCCGGACAGGATTGTCTGAAATATATTTGGACGTGGATAACGTAAAAGAAGCTTTAGTGCTACCAATATAATATAGTAACAAACATATTTTAATGTCTAAGGTCTGTTACCTGGACAAGCCGACATCCTACAATTTGATGTTTCCGTCTCCGACTCTCCTGGTCTACACTGTGATCTAGACAAACACGGTCTAGAGCGTGAGCGCGTGCCGGACCCACATGACACAGAACATGAACCCCAAATAGACCAATCCATCCCTCCAGAAAAGAATGCTGACGAAAAAAGAATACGTGTAAAATTAAGTACAAACAAACTTTGTTAAGTCGAAATTAAACACTGCCTAAAACGCCCATACTCACATAGACATGGCTGTGCGTTACATTCCCTCCTGATGTCGGGCACTCCAGGACAAAAAGAGCCGCCATATTGAGGCAATGGATTGTTACAAAACCGAAATCTTCTAGATACACCGCCATCACAGCTTCTTGTACACGGAGTCCAACTGAGCCAGGAGGACCAGCCCCCATCCACGGAATCTGAAGTTTATAAGTAGGACACATTCAAAACGATCATTATAGTTGAACTTCAAATGTGTTCTATAAAGTTATAATCAGTAACTTTATAGACTTATAATAACTTATATACATCAATTTGCTTAACAAACAAAAGTTATTAGTTTAATTTTCAAACTTTTTCCGTACATTTGCTTCTGTTTCTTTAGATCAAATGTAATCACAGTTTCAGATATAGAAAAATCCGCTAAAACGGGCATATTTGTCCAAAATCTTATCATTACATTAAATTAAATATGAAAGAGCTACGAACTCAGATCGTTATTTATATATATATAATTATTGATAAATAACGAATTTGTGAACACACGTGACCGGCCCGTACGACCGCCAAGTTTGAAAAATGTCGATTTGAGACGATTTTCATATAAATAAAATTACATTATTAAAGGCTATGGACCGATGCAAGATATGTCGATTAAGTGAAATGCTTTCCGAAGAACAATACTTTCCTGTTAATTATATCGTGTAATTCAGTAATTCCTCAGTGAAAACGTCGACCATAGAGAGGCTGACCATAATTATCACTTGAAAAAGGGCCTAGCAAATTCATTAAAATTTTCCATACCAATAAAAGTTGGATTAAAATGATTGGACCACAACACATTTTTATTAACGTAAAAGACAAATGGTATGACGAACTCGTAATGCGCCAGTTCAACAGATCATAGTCAGTTGATGAAAAGACGATTTTTTTTCATTAAAATTTTTCAAATAGCGCGAAATCTCGGGCGACGAGACTGAAATAGTCGACCGAATAGATTTGCCTAGGCAAAACGACGGTCTTTTCATCAATATTTAAGTCTGTTATGTAATATTGAAATTTCAGTTAAGGGAAAGCATCATAAAGCATTAAATATCATTAAAACTACCTTTACACAATCGTGCAGCTACCCTTCCAACGAGAGCATAAAGCATACCAGCATCAGGAACTTCTAATACCCATCCGGGGCTGATTTCCATCAATTCATTAATGTCCCGGAAAGGTCCGAACCCTACCGAGAGGATGTCAATGCCAGTTGACCGGGCAAGGTTCGCCTCTGCCAGCGCCGCCTGGTGGTCGTTTGAATGGAATGCGCTGAGCAGGACAGCACGTTTTGCGGCACCAGGACGACTGTAATAAGTCAGCATTTTCCTCATCTCCGACAAACCCTTTGCTGTTGAGGATATACCAAATCCGGGACGGAGAAAGCCGAAAGCGTGAAGGGTATATACTTGATGTACACTGAAAGGCATGATGTCATCAATTCCTGTGCTGTACAATATGGCAGCTACTCGGAAGGAAGCTGGACTTACCTGAAGAACTCGGAGAAGACTGTTTACAAACACAGCGATACCTGGGTGCCATATTGGCCTTCCACGTGGTGTTACGTAACGTGTGAAGGCAGACGAGTCCACGACCAGCACCAAATCCACATACCCTCGACAGCCATCTGTGGAATAAAAATCCAAACCCTAACTCATTTGTCAAAGATAACACCCCAACATACTTCCAACACAGAAATACCCCTGTAATCACCTTACTATTAATCAATGACCACCTCATCCAAACTTTTTAACTACAAAAAAATGTCTGACTGAATGTAAATGAACTACTCCTCCGTCAGATTGGTCCAGCTGGGCACAAAGTTACAGGTGATTTAAGCATAAAAAGAATTGGCAGTCCGAAATCTAAACAAAACACAGGTCAATGTACTTGGATCCTATTGGTAAACCCACACCTCATACGCATGCATGTGCTTCCAGAAAAGGCGTCCAATAACTTGATTCTTGTCTGCAGACATTCTTACATTTCCTGTATACAAAAAGGGTTGGAATTGTTTGATAACAAAAAGAGATAAAAATACGAGTTTATCATAGTTCAGTAATAATTTAGATTGCCTATATGGTTGTAAGTTATACTGAAACGTATTCCGTGAAACATACGTCCGAATAAAAGAAATCATAGAAATTATCGAGCTTCTTGTCCGTTTTTGTTTTCTTACGAGGCTGAATGTACCTTAGAGCTTATCAAAACTGGTCTTAAGATATTTGCAAAGTTTTTGAATTTCACCTCATATATGTGGCGTCTTGTCTAAATAAGAACATATTTAGTGACCATTTTAATCGCCATTAGAATTGAAAATCAAGAACACAACAGACTCTTCTACATCAGCTGCTTACCTCGATCTTTTCCTGCAACAAATCAGAGACAGATTTTTATCAAGCAAGCTGTAGGATAAGCGTGATGATTTCAATCTCTCTTTTGTTAATTTCCCATTTCTGGATGGCAACATTCATATAACCCCAACCTGTCGCAATTGGCTCGATATTTACGGGCATGTTATCAATATTATAATTTTCGTGTAAGATGTCGAGAAACTCGCAACAAAGGGTTTCGGTATATGCATGTTGATGGAATTATTGGGATGTTTTACGGTTGTCATAGTGACCTCTTTGAGAACTGTTCTGTTTCTTTATGTGATACGGAAGATGACGTGTTTGATACTCGTTAGTTTGTTGGATGACTTCATTGTTGTAGAATACCTGGTCTTATTCGGTGGCGATTTTCTAGGTGAAACTACGGAAATTTGAAACATCAAAAATTATTCTAAATTAAAACAAAAAACAACAATGAAAGGGTCACGATCATAGCCAGGTAAACTCGGAACATAGAGATGAAAATTAGTCCAAACAAAAATATACTTACACGTTACGTCATCAGAGAGGAATACCGCCTGTTGTTGACAGGAAGACCGATGGAAGGTCAAGGTCATTAGTACCAATATGACAGGTATGGTGTACATGGCTTCTGCCCGATGAATCTGAATAGCAGGAAGATGAAAATTATATACCATATTAGCAGTAACACTCGATAAAAAATTTCAGTACATGTGGACTAAATGTGTAACCGACAAAATCAGATGGAAGCGTAAAAATAGAGCATCAAACCGCATCAAGACTGACGATAGTCATATGATAATTTGATGTCGTATAAGGCACTGCTGAGAATTGTTATATAGCGTTTGCTGTATGACACCGTATCAACAGTGTGTGCGTATTTTCTTCATTCTCGACCCCGATCGGTTGATAAGCTTATTGTTATACCATCTGACAGAGCGAAACGACATGCAGTAACTCTTAGAGATCAGACGGTTGTTTTCAGGTTTCTGCTAAAATAATCGTGATTGTGAGAGACTGAAGCCAGGTATATACTGATCTGCGGGTAGTGTTATCAAAAATTCGGGAATTCCTCATATAGAAAGTTCTATTCATCTTTGTATGCATAATATATAACATAGTATAACTCACTATGACACCATAATCAGCGAGTTGGGTTTTAAATTCCACTTTGGGAAACGTTTAAAAACTCCCATCTTTGTTCTTAATGCTCTTTTAATGATAAATTTAGGAAACTGGTGTTCACTTATTTGCTTATTTCTTGTTCATCACATGCATTGTACATGAATAAATACAAAACAAAACAAAATATGCCAAAGCAGTTATCCGGATATATCCAAACTTGTTAAAGACAACTGGAACAAATCTATTGTGCTTGATATATGGTTAGACATTGAATTTTATGGGTTTTTTTTTTTATTGAAATAGAATCTATTTTCAGAGGTACGATGTACATTAGAGGTACGATGTACACTACAGAGGTACGATGTACATTAGAGGTACAATGTACACTACAGAGGTACGATGTACACTACAGAGGTACAATGTACATTTCAGAGGTACGATGTACACTACAGAGGTACGATGTACATTAGAGGTACGATGTACACTACAGAGGTACAATGTACATTAGAGGTACGATGTACACTAGAGGTACGATGTACACTACAGAGGTACAATGTACATTTCAGAGGTACGATGTACACTACAGAGGTACAATGTACATTTCAGAGGTACGATGTACACTACAGAGGTACAATGTACATTTCAGAGGTACGATGTACACTACAGAGGTACGATGTACATTAGAGGTACGATGTACACTACAGAGGTACAATGTACATTACAGAGGTACGATGTACATTAGAGGTACGATGTACACTACAGAGGTACGATGTACATTTCAGAGGTACGATGTACACTACAGAGGTACGATGTACATTAGAGGTACGATGTACACTACAGAGGTACGATGTACATTAGAGGTACGATGGCTCGACCGTCCGTCCGTCCGTCCTAATTTTGTCCGGAGCATATAACAAAAACTGAAAAAGGCATCAACATGAAACTTGGTAGGTTGATAGATCTCCATAAGGTGAAGTGTACAAGAACCGTAACTCTCGTTGTCATAACTAGCCCTTATGGAACTAAGGATTATTCGGGTAGCATCCATCGGTTCTTATGTATATCTAAGTAATACTGGAATGTTGTTGACCATTTTTTTAGATTCTTCTAGCAATTTTATTCAATTTCTTTTTATTTATTTGTTTTTTTCACATCATTACGAATGTTTAGATTTGTGTAGTACATCGCACGTGTATAAAACGTTAATCACGGGCTAAAAACTAAATTCAATTCGGTGTTGATTATGTACACTAGTATCCGACGACAACTTATAAACCTCTGGTTTGGATTTTCTAAACAAAAATATCTCCTGGTATGATCGATTTAATTATCTTAAAGGATTGAATATCATAGCTTGCCAGAAATATTATAACCAGAGTGTCGAATACAAGAAAATCCTGATCCACAAGTCCCCGCATGAAAAAGAGATGGAAGACGGGAGTATTTAACACAGCTATGGTAAAAATTTTACCTCCTATTTAAATGAATTTTAATATGTGAATTAGGTTTTATCTCAGATATTGCAATTGTTGATCACACTCAAAACGTAAAAGACTCTCAGCGAGGTAATTATAACGAGCAAAACCTACATGTGATACAGTATGAACTTAAGCTGGTATCCGAATAAACGTTAGTTTTTTCTCCGTTCATTATTACAACCTAAATGTCATTATTTGGTAAATTCTTCACTGTAAAACTGTATTAATGTCAAATTTAGTTTGTTTTATTTCGATTCTACAGAAAACACTAAAATGTAGAACTGCGGATATACATGCCTCTGGAACTAGGATATACTAATGAATGAAATCCTTCATTGTCTGGTTAGACGATAAAGTCACGTGCTTATAATCAGTAAGTGAAGTCTAATAAAATCTATTAAAACCGAATTTAAAGTGATCTCCACATACTGGTTATTCCATCGCAATAGTTATCTGTTCTACATCTATGCATTTTCGTAAAAACTGTCGAACATATTTTTTCTGTAACTACACACTTAGTGATGACCTCAGTGATAGATTACATGTACCTGAAGCTTATAACCTCTCGTGCTGATAAAATAGAAATCTTACCGGTGATGTAGTTTTGATGTCACGGTCCAGTTACTATATTTAGGGTGTAACAAAAATGATGACCGTTTCTTGGTGAAATAAACCGATCATGGCGGACACTGATCATAATTAACCTGATCTTATCTCATGGGTAACTATTCAAACTTTCAGCTGGATCATTATCTAAGAATTTCAAATTTGTTAGTTGAATCTTAGTATGACAGTTTTGAAGACTGAAAAGACATTTGCTACACGTTTTGTTGTTGGTCCAGTACAGTTAGCATGTTTTTAAACATGTTAATTATCAAGAACTTAATGGCACAGATCGGGAGTATTTTAGCATGAAAACAATAAAGAATAGTAATTAGTTGTGGGGAAGAGATGTTCTCACATTCTACTTTTCTTAGTGTCGAATGGTTGGAGTTGTAGTGGTGGATGAAAAATTTGGGGGTTTGGGGAGGTGGGGTCAAAGTTCGACTGCGCCCCATTATAAAACCACGTTCGACTCAAAACGATCATACAGCGGACTTTAAAGCCAAATAGATATAGACCGTAACATTTGCTGCATTTACTTTTAAACTCCAAATACGCAGAAATGAATTATGGGTTAAGTTGCTTATTAATTCAAAATATTTGCACTAATTAATATATACGACGGCTACTCCATAAAGCTTAGAGTTCGAAATATAAATTCATACAGTTAAGAATTAAAATTAAAAGAAACATTAAAGATAAAAGAACCTTTCCGATTACTCCCAAAACCTGTCCATCAATAAGTAGACATTTCAGATTTTGAAAAAAAAGTTTGTCAAAACCGAATGGACTTACCTATCGATCGAAATCAGTTATCTGGAACTAGTCATGCCATGTTAACAGGATATACACGTCTGGTATCCGGAGAGTGTAGCTATGTCCAGCGCAATGTCCAGTGAAGATAGTTGACCAGAGGAAGATGTCGATCACTCACCTGTGATATGTCTGAATAAGTGATTGAGTTGACAGATCGCTTCCCACCTCCCCAGCTAAAACATATTAGTCAGGGCCTGTGGTGGGATGTATACCAAACGCATCGTATTGCCAGCTGTTGTGCCCCGGGGATTGGATTGAAACAACGTAACTCTGTGGACCTGTACATTTATGCGCGTGATGAACCGTAAGAGATAACCAAACCTGTATAACGGTTGTCAGTGTATTCCCGTTTTCTCGTGATTTTAATATACGGTGTGATTCTGTAGTTATTGAAGTAATAAATACTTGATGTAACACCATATTTAGCCGTAATAAGTCAAACGCTTTATAGTACTTTATACGATTCTGCAGTAATAATGTAAGTACGTTAGCCATCTTCCTATACACCCAAGTGTGTGTGTTTTTGTTTTGTTTTTTGTTTGTTCGTTTGTTATTTTGTTGTTGCTTTTTTTTGTAGCGGAATGCGTTTATATATATATACATACAAATTGACATAGATTTAATGAATCATGATGATTGAATCTCTTTCGTGTGTATGTATATGACCCTTTTGAAGAGTTCGTACTTTCTTCTGTCTCTAATAAAGGAGAACACTCTAACACAACTTGTAAAACCCCTCTGCATTTAAGCCCATCAACCGTCTGTCCAAATTGTCTTGCATCCTTGTTCGCGATCGGTCCATCCGTCCGTCTTCCATGCATAAATATGTTTGCTAAAACTGTTTCTTCAGAGGTTCTGTGGACCTTTCTCAAATTTCATGTCAACGTTCTCAAGATTCATATACAAGTTAAGTTTCCCTATGGCCCTTAGTTGTTGAAATGTTGGTAACACACAGGCCTTTTATCTACACGTCAGGTAACACACTGGCCTTCATCTACACGTCAGGTAACACACTGGCCTTTCATTTACACGTCAGGTAACACACTGGCCTTCATCTACACGTCAGGTAACACACTGGCCTTTCACCTTCAGGTCAGGTGACACACTGGCCTTTCATCTACACGTCAAGTGACACACTGGCCTTTCATCTACACATCAGGTAACACACTGGCCTTTCATTTACACGTTAGGTAACACACTGGCCTTTCAGCTACACGTCAGGTAACACACTGGCCTTCATCTACACGTCAGGTGACACACTGGCCTTTCATTTACACGTCAGGTAACACACTGGCCTTTTATCTACACGTCAGGTGACACACTGGCCTTTCATCTACACGTCAGGTAACACACTGGCCTTCATCTACACGTCAGGTAACACACTGGCCTTTCATTTACACGTCAGGTAACACACTGGCCTTCATCTACACCTCAGGTAACACACTGGCCTTTCATCTACACCTCAGGTAACACAATGGCCTTTCATTTACACGTCAGGTAACACACTGGCCTTTCATTTACACGTCAGGTAACACACTGGCCTTCATCTACACCTCAGGTAACACACTGGCCTTCATCTACACGTCAGGTAACACACTGGCCTTCATCTACACCTCAGGTAACACACTGGCCTTTCATCTACACGTCGGGTAACACACTGGCCTTCATCTACACGTCAGGTAACACACTGGCCTTCATCTACACCTCAGGTAACACACTGGCCTTCATCTACACCTCGGGTAACACACTGGCCTTCATCTACACCTCGGGTAACACACTAGCCTTCATTTACACGTCAGGTAACACACTGGCCTTTCCTTTACACGTCAGGTAACACACTGACCTTTCATCTACACGTCAGGTAACACACTGGCCCTCATCTACACCTCGGGTAACACACTGTCCTTTCATCTACACGTCAGGTGACACACTGGCCTTTCATCTACACGTCAGGTGACACACTGGCCTTTCATCTACACGTCAGGTAACACACTGGCCTTTCATCTACACGTCAGGTAACACACATGGCTTTCATCTATAGGTCAGGTAACACACTGGCCTTTCATCTACACGTCAGGTAACACACTGGCCTTTCATCTACACGTCAGGTAACACACATGCCTTTCATCTACACGTCAGGTAACACACTGGCCTTCATCTACACCTCGGGTAACACACTAGCCTTCATCTACACCTCAGGTCACACACTGGCCTTCATCTACACGTCAGGTAACACACTGGCCTTCATCTACACCTCAGGTAACACACATGCCTTTCATCTACACGTCAGGTAACACACTGGCCTTTCATCTACACGTCAGGTAACACACTGGCCTTTCATCTACACCTCAGGTAACACACTGGCCTTTCATCTACACGTCGGGTAACACACTGGCCTTCATCTACACGTCAGGTAACACACTAGCCTTTCATCTACACGTCAGGTGACACACTGGCCTTTCATTTACACGTCAGATAACACACTGGCCTTTCATCTACACGTCAGGTAACACACTGGCCTTTCATCTACACGTCAGGTAACACACTGGCCTTCATCTACACGTCAGGTCACACACTTGCCTTTCATCTATAGGTCAGGTAACACACTGGCCTTTCATTTACACGTCAGGTAACACACTAGCCTTTCATCTACACGTCAGGTGACACACTGGCCTTTCATTTACACGTCAGATAACACACTGGCCTTTCATCTACACGTCAGGTAACACACTGGCCTTTCATCTACACGTCAGGTAACACACTGGCCTTCATCTTCACGTCAGGTCACACACTTGCCTTTCATCTATAGGTCAGGTTACACACTGGCCTTTCATTTACACGTCAGGTAACACACTGGCCTTCATTTACACGTCAAGTAACACACTGGCCTTTCATCTATAGGTCAGGTAACACACTGGCCTTTCATTTACACGTCAGGTCACACACTGGCCTTCATTTACACGTCAAGTAACACACTGGCCTTTCATCTACACGTAAGGTAACACACTTGTCTTTCATCTACACGTCAGGTGACACCCTGGTCTTTTATCTACACATTAGGTAACACATTGGCCTTTCATCTATAGGTCAGTTAACACACTGGCCTCTCATCTACACGTCAGGTAACACATTAGCCTTTCATCTACAGGTCAGGTAACACACATGCCTTTCATCTACACGTCAAGTAACACACTGGCCTTTTATCTACACATCAGGTAGCACACTGGCCTTTCATCTACACGTCAGCTAACACACTTGCCTTTCATCTATAGGTCAGGTAACACACTGGCCTTTCATTTACACGTCAGGTAACACACTGGCCTTCATCTACACGTCAAGTAACACACTGGCCTTTCATCTACACGTCAGGTAACACACTTGTCTTTCATCTACACGTCTGGTGACACACTGGCCTTTTATCTACACATCAGGTAGCACACTGGCCTTTCATCTACACGTCAGGTCACACACTAGCCTTTCATCTTCACGTCAGGTAACACATTGGCCTTTCATCTACACGTCAGGTAACACACATGCCTTTCATCTACACGTCAGGTGACACACTGGCCTTTCATCTACACGCCACCCTTTCAGAAATTGGTCCTTTTGGTGATGCTGCACTTCCATTGTGATTACTGTTGACAAAACAAATCTCACGAAAATCATACACAAATGATTTTAGAGAATTTTTCAACACAACGTTCACTGTTTAACATTCATCATGATTACTCAATCAAATATACCTAAACTAGGTACAAATGTACCTGACGGCAACTTACAGCTACAGTCCTCCAATCCAGGGCAGCCATGCGAGGTAATCAACTTGAACAGATCCAGTACGGTGAAGTCAGCATTTTGTGAATCCCCAATATCATCTTCATTAATCCACGCAATCTTCATCATCTCCATGAAACCAATCACCATCACTGCCATAACCATATCAATCCCTGAAATCATCACCATTACCTACAACAGCTATATACAGCCATGTGAGGTCTGCTCGTCCAAGGATCCACCTGAAAGATATTATTCTGAGAGAAATACATACTTAAGATTATCAACAAAAATACACTGTATACCCATTAGTATGGGTAAAATTGGTGATGCTGCACCACCATTGTGATTACTGTTGACAAAGCAACTCTCACAAAAATCATACACAAATGACTTTAGATTTTTAATATTAGATGGAACAGAGAAGTCAATGAAGGAAGCTGTTGAGGACCTAAATATTTTTGCAAAATGCTCTGTTTTAAAAAGTAATACAGAAAAGTTAACAATTCTTGGAATTGACTTTCATGTAGATTTGCGTAAGATTCTTAAAATGAATTTTGACAAAAAAATTAAGCTTAAAGCTATTATTAACAAGAGTACCGCAAAGTGTAACAAAATATGCCCGTGAATATCCAAAACAGCAAATTGTCTAATCAAAACCCCGTTCAGGAAAACACAATTTCATATCATGGTGATCAAGCCTACCAAGTTTCATAAAGATCGGCTGAAAAATGTTGGAGGAGATCTCTGGACAAGATTTCTATAGTGAAATAAACAAAGGGCCATAGCTCTTGTTCAAATCACCAAATCAAAACCCTGTTAAGGAAAACACAACTTCATATCATGGTGATTAAGCCTACCAAGT